TTAGTTGTTACCCGTCCTTTCTCTTGAACGATGTGGAACAACTCATATACAGTATAGATTTTCATCTTAACGTCTATATGCAATTCACATGTAACAATAGCACGAGTATATGAATGGTATAATATACTTTAACATGTAGGCCAAAAAAAAGGATACGCTAAAAATTGAAAGGTGCAAATGCTAAGCCATGTAATTAGTATCCGCTTACCAAGTTTTGCTTGGTGGAGTTGGTGGGGAACTCATCTTGTGAGTTTGAGGTCACAAGTTCGAGCCCCACTAACTAAAAAATGCTTGGGAGTAGGGGGATTCCCTTACCTCCCCCCTCTACTCTCAAGCGCTAACCTGTAGAGTTGAACTGGCTAAATCTGTGAGAGGTGCCGGTTCAATAGGATCCTTCATCTTACCTTAAAAAAAATGTAATTAGTATCCGCTTATACAAGTATATTGCTTTGTATACTTAGTCGATGGGCCAAGTGTTTAGAGCCCGATAACTTGTATAAATACTTCTCTCTACAGCAATACAACTCAAGAAAACACAATTCTTAACATGGTATTAGAGCCTCTATATTCTAAACCCTAAAAATCTAAAAAAAAACTGAAATTTTTTTCTCTACTTCTCTAATTGCACGCCATGGGTGATTAAGGGAAACTTGATCCTTGCTCTCCGTTCTACCTTGGTGCAGGCGATCAACCCGGAAATTTGATTATTGACGTTAAGTAAAACCTAAATTAATTCCCCTTGTTTCAATTTGATGATCTAGAAATTATCAAAATATTAATGTGAAAATAAGCTTTCAAATAATTTAATACCACAAGTTCTATAATGGATAATTAGACATTGACGTAAACGTTATTTGATTAATCACTAATCTTAAATAACACTTCTAAATATTTACTCCTTCGTTTTAAATTAATTACAACAAAGGGTATTATTTGTGAAATATAAAAAATTTCTTTGTTGCAGTTAACATGAACAAAGGCAGTAAATCACATTCACATATTGATACCATTATTGACATCATATTTTGTAAAGGAAAAGTAGTAGGAAGCCCTAGGCCGACATATGGGCAATTGGTAACATGGCCATGAGTGAGAACTTTAGGTTAGAACAATTTTGTCAAACGAAAACATCATTATAAGATAATTGGGCCATATTGCTTTACCATGTGATAACCCTTGATCCTAATACGTTATTGGCCTATTATTTGGGAAATGTCTACTAATGGACTACGTAATACGTATATCCAACTTTTCAATAATTTTCCACTTTCTTATTTTGTGGGGCCAAGAAAATAACATATTTGTGGATCCAATTTTAATGCAAGCCCAAATGTTCAAGACTTACATGATCAATATACAAATAATACACATAAAATGGCCTACCTCTCAAACACAAACCCAACCATAAACCGCCACCATTGCCTCGCCATTCAACCAAAAACCGCCGTGATACCACTATAAGATTTTAGGCACTCTAAGCGGAATTTCATGAATTATATTCATAGGCACCTAAACAAGATCTCATACATATACAATTAAAGGATCACATAATAGTTTAGAATTAACCTTTGAAGCGTGAATCCTCTTAGCAATCTTCTTCTCTACAGGAGATAAAGAGCCTCAAGCGTGACTCCTCTATTCGGTCCACCAGCTTGAATCAATGCTCCACCAATGCTAGTTTGACGGGAAAATCTTTCACCTTTCTTAGAGAGAGAGAGAATTTTGAGAGGAAAAAATATTACATTGTTTTAGAAAACTGAATATTGTATTTTTTTTTATTTTCTAAAACCTCTAATTAATATAATCTCATTAGATTAATTAGGTGAGGTTTTCCTCTCCCCTTTTCCCCTCTTGGTCGGCTAACCTAAGGCCCACTTTGGGCTTCGAGTATCTTTATTGATCCAAACCTAATGTGTGACCTGTAGGATCCGTTTAGATGGGCTTCAAGTTTATTTCTCACTAACCCAAAGTTCTATAGTATTCTCTAGCAAGACGTATAGACGACCCAAATAAACGAATTATTATCTCCATAATACGATCCAAATTATACTTAGTAATTGCACTAAAGTCGAGGACACATTTCCTTCACCTTAAAATTGGATAAGTAGGAAAGATGGGTCTAGTTTTGATTCTAAGCACACAACTTGAAATTGAACCCAACACTATGCATCCAAAGAAAGGCCGATCGGAATTTTGGGGTCTCAGGGGATGACGAGAGACGGTCCAGGCACCTGGTGGCTAGTCTCAGGTTTGGCATTACTGTACATGGCCACACCATGTGATCACAAAAAAACAGCATTATATGTTCTTGGTTTCAAGGCACAGATGATGCATTCCTTGGATATCTTGAAGGTGGCATGTGCTCTAAAACCCGAGGGTACTCTGGTTTTAAGCATTTACTGGTCATCGCTTGCAACAACTTGTAATTCATATGATCAAATAGTGGGAATTTTCTGATAGCAAGCCAAATCAATAATTGCATTGCAAGCAAAAGTCACAGGCTCACACAGCATAATGGTACATTTAGAGCCAACTAAAATTTTGCGTTTTCTGATTGTAATCTAAACTCTAAGCAGCTAATACTAACATTCCTTCAAGTTTTACTACCCTGCCCTGTACTTCGTTTCAAAATTATGTTTAATTCAATTGTGCTCTAAAATCTAGACCCACTACCTTTCCTCGGCAATCAACAATCTCCGTAACTTTCTACAGATAGAATTTGGCATACAAGGCTACACTAGGTTATACATAAACATCTGAAGGTACTAATCGTGGCGCTTAGTATTTTGACCCAGCATTGACTTAAGAGTTGCAAGAGCCATCTCAGCAGCCTGACAAAAGGCAGAAAAAATAACCACACTATCCTTGATATAGAGGCCACACAATTCTAGATCTTTCAATCTGTCTTTTGGTGTAAATGTGCATATGTCAGGTCTCTCAACTTCTTAAGATACGGAGGAATGCAAAAGACATAACAGAAGGAGCTATACCTGGATCTTCGCCCAAGATTAAATCATTAGAACCTTGTTACATGGTCACATTAAAGAATCCGCCAAGAAACAAGTAATTTCCCGTACATATATGAATTTCAATGTATCAACCCCCCATGATTGCCTAACTGGACTATTCACAGGCCGCCTTCATTCGCAATTTTTGTAAATATCTATGTCTGCAATAATAATAATAATAATAAAAAAAAAAGATCAAATACACAGAATTAGCAAAACAATCAATTGAAGGCAGGACAAAGATTCATCATTCTTTGGCTTCCGAAATAATAAAATCATTTACTTGATTCCGCAATAAGGTAAAGAAGAACAGGAGAGCAGAGTACAATATCGGTCAGAATCTGAGAGGGGTCTAAAAGATATAGTGATGCATTCGATGTGAAATCATAAAAGGCTTCTTAAATCTAAAGCATAATCCCACAACACAGGGTATGATTAGGCAAGCCAGGAAACAGTATACTCTTTGCATAAACCAAAAAGCATCAGAATGGTGCACATATATAAGTGGATCAAGAGGAAAAACCGGTGCAATATAAAAAGAACAAAAATAATCAATTCTAGCATATTAAAATTTAAGATAGATAGACAACCTCCATAGAGAACTTCAACTCTGGGGTAGCAACCAACCCTGGCTTAAACTCAACCTGCAAAATTCATGTAAGTTGCCACAAGGGTGGAAACAAGTGAGAATATAGATTATTTAAGTCCCCTTTACCTTTAGTTGAATTGATTTGGTTGATTAGGGTTAATAAACTGTCTCGCTAATGATATTCCTTTTCAAAATTAGTACGAGTATGAGATTAGCATGTTGCAATTGTTATTAAATGTTGATAATGGCAATTATAAGCAGTATATTAAATTATGTTTAATCTATCATAGGGTTAGCAGAAGCAAGTCTCCCAAGCCTAAGGAAAAGGAAAAGAAGGTTATTGAGAGTGATACTGACACTGAAGACAGTGATCTAATTTATTTTTTTAGTAGCTTTCTTTTGTATGCTTGAGTTGAATACATAAATGGTCTTCTATATGTGAATCTTAACCCAGATATAGATATGGTGATCGAAAGGGCCTTGTCTTTCATAGCAACTTTAATTCCTCTCTTGGTTTTCTCTTGTATTGTATAAGTATATTATTGCAGGAACCCAAGTATGTTTTTGTGCAGCCCGTTCGTAGTTCAGCAAAGCAGTTTCGAAAGGGCCTTGTCTTTTATAGCAACTTTGAAGCTAAGCCGGTTGATGATCCTCAAGCTCCAGTCGAGCTGTTTTTCGCCCGGTTGTTGCTTCCTTGGGATAATGATATTCCGGTTTCCGCTGACATTTGTGAAAGCCTGGGGATCACCAGCTCCTTTTCTGGTACGACTCTTTACTTGTGATTATATTTAAACTGTTTTTATGCTGCCAAATTCTTTTGTGTGCTTGCATTGTATCTTTTTTTAGTTCCTTGTTTTCGTTGACTGGAATGGAACTGACTATGACATTATACTTGGCCAGCTTGGGTTGTATTTGATCTCTTGCAGATGAGCCTGAGGAATGTACTGACTGCGAGATATGCTCTTATGTCCGTCACCCCAAAAATCGGGAATTCAGGGGGATGATTACTGATTAATCCACGACATTCTGCAATGCAATTCAAGCAGACCATTAAGAGGTCGATGCTGCTGTCACTATCTTGTCTACCATTTCAAAATCTGTAATGAAAAATGAAAACCTTCAACTTGAGAGACACTTTAAAATCTGTAATGCAAAGTGAAAACCTCCACCTTGAGAGACATCCACGCCATGGTATAGACGTCTATGCAGGAAACTTCTCTATCGTGGTAGATCTGTAGATATATCTTCTAGTAAACGTCAAATGTCCATGAATAATTGCCGCCCTTGGTCAGGTGGGTGTTGTGAAAATGGTGTTGTGGAGGGTGGCTGTGACCGGGTGGGATGACTACACATAAAGGGAGCACAAATATGATTGAATTGATTTTTGTTGATTCAAACTATCTAATATAAAGTTATAAACCTTGATTGAAACTTTTTCGATCCAGCATTGTTCTTGTCATTTATAATTTATTGATATTCGTTGTAATGAATACTGACCAAAATTGATCATTATGTAAAAGCCACAACCTAGAAAGGATCTCGAAATGCATAATTACAAACTGCAAAATTGCATTCCACATTATGTTGCATCTGTACAGAGCAGTAAACAGTACTGCGTAAATTTTGAATTACATAGTTATATAGGAGAGGTGAAGATCCTGATGCAACAGCAACTGCAACTAGAGAACATGCCAAATTGCCAATTCTCAAGTCATTATGCTCGTCAAAGATGATCCCAGCATCGTTACTGGTCTTATTACCCTGCAAGGCCAACTTTCATGTCAACAACATCAAACATCATTTTGCAGTTCAGCTATACGAGAGTAATTTCATAGCAACTAAATATCACTAAGATTTCAGGGCATCACAACATTCACAAGGCATATGCATAAGCAGTACAATTGATGTCTTCTTTAGAAATACTAGAGTAATCATGCTTAGAATGGTAATAATCAGAAGATGGGTGCTACAGATCACAGTAAACATCAAGAATTTCTTGCTCACAACCAACAATTATTTTCATCAGTTTCTGTATAGTGAAATGACTTATATAACACGCTTAACAACCAAAGTGCAAGTACTAAGAAAAAACATCGACATGCTAAGAATCAAGATCACTCATACTATGTTTCCTAAGCACACCAGATGCTCAAGTTTAAAAATTACACGGTAAGATATAGCAGTAATAAGCGTTGCTCACTTGCTCTTGAGAACCATAAATTTATTTAAGAAAGTGTGAACTCTTCTGTTTTTTACATATTGAGTCAGCAAGTCAATGGTTTAATCAGGTGTCTAGAAGAAACACCCTTTGCGTTGTGAGTCTTGTGACTGAGTTGCATGCATATGAGATCGGAATCATCTGAGTGATCTAACCCCTCCCTTAAGGTGCCCTATGAAGGACTCTTGTTAGAAGTACTTGGGTGACATGGTATAATATTGCATGCTACCCTAAACATTTAATCAATCCTGTTGGTCTTTACTATCTAGTTTGAACTCATATTTCCACCTCTACTAGCTAAGTCTCATTTTTAACAAAGCTTGTAGCAATTCCTCAATTAGCTACATATGTTAACACATTAATTCAGAATTTATTTATTGAGATAATAGGCCTCTTTGCTCATTAGTACACAAAAAGCTTGCAGGCAAAACCAAATCTAAGGTTCAAGAACTATTTTAATTAAAAGCATACAAAATCCTTCTCAATCCTTTTAATATTATATTCATCATTGTAATGCTAAGCAATATGTTTATCAGTCCTTTCTATTCGTATCTCCAACGGTCATAGTAGTCATTCTATGGCTACCTTGTAAATAATAAATGCTTACCAGGAAAAAAATCTGGACTCCTTTTGGTCTCCTTTGTTCAGTAAGTCACAAGCAGGAGGAATCCCAGCTAGCATCCACAGCTTGGATAATTTTTTGATGTAGCTGAACTCCAGCACAAGCAATTATACCACGGTCAAGACCTTCCAAATATATACCATTTGAGAAGTTCAAGGGGTGCCCTCCTGCATCCGTCACCACACCGCCAGCCTCTTGTATAATGACAGTACCAGCTGCATGATCCCATATCTTCTCTTTGTAACCCGACTTTGCAAACTTCATGAATATCTCTGCATCACCACGAGCAACAGCAGCATATTTGACCATGCTGTATACTCGCAAAGGTTCCTTACTGTAGCAGAGGAATATATCAGTAAACAATCGGCGATACATTGTTAGGAAGAAGAAGAGAGCAGAATTTTCCAGTATATTTTATGACACTGTGGTCTGAGTCAATGAATCAATCATACAGGGAAATATGAAACCTAAAATTTTCAGAATTAGAATTGTATTGCTAGGTTTTAGGACGCAATATCCACTAGGATTGGTCCTAAGCGAAAACTAGGAAAGAGGGGGGGGGGGGGGGGTGAGTGATGTAAGTCTAATGTTTCTTTGCATTGATATTATTTCAACCATCTTTTGAAGACAGAGGTATAGCACCACCAAATGGTCCTAGTAAGGCCTCTCACACACCAAAGAGAAATAACTTCCTTAAGTAATCTGAATAGAGGTTTTCTTTTTGGTTTGGACAAGTGAACTTTGAATAAGCAGTTTAGTTAAATGACTAACATCTTCTATAATTAAAATCAAATAAAACAAGAAAGTAACAGAAACCGAAGTTGGGATAAGAACAAGCTTTCAGAACTTCAGTATAAAAAAGAGAGATGCACCTAACTCCGACACTGTGAGCAAGTCCAGCAGTGAAAGAATGGCTAGAATTCGCCCTTTCAACAGGCTCACAGAAGGTAGCCAAGGAAGGATCTTCAACGAGAGACACATAGACAGGTCTGGGAGATTTTAACTCAACCAAGTTCATGGATTGTGGAAGTAATGGCTGCATCCAAGATTTACCACTACCTTTTCTAGCATATAATACAAAACCTTTATCCCAAGATTCTGACCTTGGTGGGGTAAGCTTGGATATGATCCTATAATAACGTTGATGATATGATAGCCACTCCTTCCTTAGTGGGTAATTAGGGCAACCTAAGACTCCAAGCACAACTTCTCCATCCTCAATCAGTGCTAGAGCAACTGCATATTGATCCCCACGCACAAAACCTAATGTGCCGTCAACGGGATCCAGAACCCAAAATCTACCACTAGGACCACCAATGGAATTGCACTGCCTTATTGCCTCAAGAACTTCTGCTTTCTTTAAGGGTCTAATCGGACCTTTAATTCCAAATTGAAGTGCTTCAGCTAAACACTCGTTGACAGTTTGTACTACAGAATCTAAGAGGACAGTTGCCTCAGGTTTTGAAAGAGCTTCAACATCTTCCTCAGCTACAATCGAGACATTTTTAATGCCAAAAGATTCAGACAGTACCCAGCTGATAGTAGCTTGGACACTCCAATCTGATTACATAACACAATGGACTAGATTACACAAGAGCCAGTTACAGGAAAAAAAAATAAATAAATAAATAATAATAATAATAATAATAATAATAATAATAATAATAATAATAATAATAATAATAATAATAATAATAATAATAATAATAATAATAATTTAGACTTGTTAGAATTCAATTGACTCAGAAAAATTCAATTCATGATGTGTTGGATGATCCACAACTTAAAGCCTTAAGTGGGTTCTGATACTCCCTTTAAGAATAACTTCAGTAAAAAATTTAGAAGAAGTTGGAGATGTTATAATCCAAATGTTTGTTTTGGTGACAAAATTCAAGAAAATCAATTTGGGTGGTTAAATAAAACTCAACAACCAGAACATACGAGTTTCAATAACAGACAATAGTTCTGGCAACCCTGCCAAGTATAAATCCTTTTCTACATGAACTCACGAAACAAAAGCCAAGTAAACCGAAAATAGATCATTGGGCCCCTGCAGTCCATTCAAGAATCTCCTCCAGTCCTCCATACTAACTTCTTGCTACACCCAACATTTTTTTCCAAGTAAAATTTTAACTAAGTTGGAGTGGTAAAAACTTTTAGTTATCTAAACAGCCACACAGTCATACTGAGGAAAAAAAATGAAAACCCAACAAAAATGTTATATAAAAACTCCAAATTATTTTTACAAGGTGTGTTGCTTTTGAAAGTTGTTATCCCATATGGATGAGATGGGATGAAGGGATCATATATTCATAAGTGCATTTCAGGTACAATCTTGTATCCCATTATACTAATTTTGGTATGTCACCAACTAAAAATCAATACGTTATTGGTTAAACATAAGATGAAAGGGATAGAGGAATCCTACCACATATGCCCCCGCTTTCAAACGCATTATGTCAATTATTTTCTTAGTTAGTATGATCTACGGAGAAACAGACTGGTATTTAGCTCCTCAAAAAACGATGTCAAACACTGCAAACATATGAGAATTGTGTTCTAATACATTAAATAATAATGAGTTTATTACTTGGATATAAGGACTTTCTACAACAACAACAAAGCCTTAGTCCCAATATAAGGACTTTCTCTATTCACTGAATCTTGGTCCGAAATTTTTTTCATTGCTATTTTATATGCACACCACTTCTCTTGTCCACTTCATTGCAAGAACTGCCTGTTAGATTTTTGTACTTCCCTTTAGTTCCTTTACGTTAGTTACACTTTTGTTTTTTGCCATACTAGCAAAACTTTTTCTTACACAAACTAATAGAGTCAGCTAACATTCTCTTTCTTACTTCTAACATAAGCCCCTCTTACAATACTCTATCTTCTCCATTTTATTATGCATATCCTACATTCCCACTTTCTACACTCTCTTACCCTCCTTGGTTTATTGGCATAAGTTTCTATAGTAAATGAAACTATCTTCATTCAAGAACCCGCTTTTCACTTCTTTTTTTCACGAGTTTTGCTATAACACACTAGCATCAAATACATTTCCTAAATCAATAACAAATGCAAAGCACGACAAAATCATGCGTCAATCAGTGTTACTAACGCATAGTCCTTACAGCTAAGTTTAGCATACTCCGACCTTCATTTACAAAACCATCCATTTATATTGACATGATTCAGAGAGAAAGACAATTGATATTTTGTTATAATACAATTCTTCAGTGATACACTGGGCAGTGAATTATAGAAGGGGTCATTTTCTTTCTCCCCAATTGTTACATTTTCCTTCTCCCAAAATTTTAACTCACTCCCCAAAATAGTCTAAAAATTTCAAGCTAACTAAACTAATCAGTCACCAAATTACTTAACTAAATTCAAAACCCAACAATGATTCTATGAACTCAAAATTCAAATATTTACAAGCAACCCATTATAATTCAATACATAAATTGCAAACCCATCTTACAAAATTGAAAATTTCAAACAAAATCATAAATTTACCTGCAATTGTGACAAGGGATTTATCATCTTTGGATTGAACAAGAGAATTAGCCTTAGAAATCAAACCCTCTTGTACCCTTTGACTTAAAGAACAAGCCATTTGAACAGCTTTAACAGCAACATCCAATTCTGCAGAATATTTCTCTTCCGTTGACTCTAAAATGGTGGGGTTTAATTGAGCATCTTTCTCCATAATTGAGGGTTTTAAGCAGCAAATTCTGGTAAAATTGGAGTGAGAAGAGAAGGTGATTTTGGTATGATAAAGGCTGAATTGTGTAAATTGTCTACTAGTTTGAGAAAACGGTAGTTGAGAAGAAAGGGTTGATCGATATATTACAGGCATTTTTATGGTTGGCGATTTCCCACGGTTACACCTTTTGCAAAGACGATGATGGTATGTGCAGATGTGCTTTGATTTTGAAAGAGGATGTTTTATATTATCTGCTACGTGGGGATGCAATATAGGAATAAATAAGGTCTTTAAATGTCGTCCTAAAATCTTTTGAAAAATCGTTTAATGGGAAACTCTAATCACTTGAGTTATCCCTTATTTTTACAAAAATTGTTGATCTTATATTACAATAATATTTCTTCTATCCTAGTTTATATTTTCTATTTTTATTTTTTCACGGTATTTAAAAAATGGGAGGAGAAATTGAATGAAAAAAATAAAAAAAAAAAAAAAAAGTGAAAAGTACTGTACAACTATAGACAAAAGTTAGAGAGAGAAAGTGGGAAAAAAGTACGAGGCAAAACGAAAATTCAAGTGTAATTTAGAAAATTTAACGAATAAAGTTTTTAAAAAAATGAGGTTATAATGGTCATTACATAATATCCAAAAATAAAAATAGGAACAACATTTTGGATCTCCAAAATAGGAAAACATGAACTATTATTGACATTATGGTCTAGATTTTATGAAAATATATACAAGTATAGATCTTCTAACTTTTCTCTTTTCTCTCCTCTAGGGTTTTAGTTTTTCTGACCGTTTAGGTCGAAAATTAGACTATTTTCGACTTAAGCCAACAAATCTAATTCAGTTTGTTGTTTTGTTTTGTTTTGCTTTGTTCTCTTCATTTGTGAGAGTCTGTCCCAATTTTGATTTTGATTTTTGATTCTCATTTATGTATGATGATTTAATGTTTAGGATTCTAATAATAATTGGGAAGATAATTGGGAAGATAATTTGGATTCTTATGCGTTTAGGGTTTATCATCACCGTGCAGATTGCAAAGGTCTCTGCTTGGAAAGATGTGAATCTACTTGCGCAACGTTGAAGTGGTGGAGTGTGAGCTATGCCAAATATGCAAAATAGTTATTATGGGTTTGATTGCAAAACTTATGTTATTTTCTCTAAATCTGTGGTTTAGAAATCTTTATTATTATTATTATTATTATTATTATTGTAGATGACGTATAGCTATTTATTAATGATCTTATTCTTCTTCCCATAAAAAAAAAAAAAAAAAAAAAAGGACATGGATGATGGATTAAGCGGGTGAATAATGGACTAAAATAAGTTTTAATAATTAAGGTCTAACAAGTTCAGATTAGTGAAAATAAGTGAAAATCGGGTGAATAAACACACAAACAGTAGCCCGATAACAATTAGATCTAGTATGTCGGATTTCCACAATTTATATGAAGAATAAGATGGAAGTGGTAGTATTGTTTACTCCCTCTATCCCTTTTTTTTGCTTCACTTGACTTTTCACGGTCTCTAAAATGCATTTTAAAACGTATATAACTCCATTTCTATATGCATAAAAATTAAAAAAATTAAAAATAAAAAAAAATTGGATATTAATAAAATATACAATGAGACGAATCTAACAAGACCCCACTTGACTACATTATCTCTTATAGATTAATAAGAGTTTATGGTCAAAGTTTTTTAAGTTTGACCCATCTTTTTACAATGGGACAAAAATTCTCTCCTCTCTTCTTCTCTCATCCTCCCTTCCCCTCTTCTAGGGTTTTTAATTAGAAATTAGACTATTTCCAAAACTTTTCCCTTTTTCTTTAATTTTGCATTTTAGGTTTCAATAAATCTACACGAGTAGTGTAGATGTTCGTTCTCTCCCTGTGATGGAGTGTCTCCCTATAGTGGAGTCGTTAGTTATTTTTTTAAGGGTTCTTCTGTGTGCTAGGGTTTATCAAAAAGGTAATCATCTTTTGCCCTATTATCAGTTCGTTGGTAAATATTTGTTCAGGATCGCAACGGTTTTTCAGATACGTTCAAATTAATCAGATGAAAATCATTCTTACGGCTACTACAAATCGTTAGATCGTCTCTCCAAAAGGCCATATATTCCAGCGATGTGTGCGAGAGATGTACCACATTACAAGATCTATTCAACGATCGTAGCTTCGATAAAAGAAACCCTTATTTGATTCAATTTTATATATTTGTTAATTTAGATTTCATTTGTAGATGTCGTATGACTTTTTACTAATTAAAAAAATCAGATGTAAAATAACATCCGCTTCAAAGTTACCTTATAATGATAAAAAGTTAACAAATAATGAATGAAAATTACCAAGTATATATAAGTTATCCTGGTATAAATAATAATTATCTAAGCTTTATGGATAAAAGTTACCCTAAATTCAACAAAAGTTATCCTAAATTCAACAAAAATTACCTAGGGACAGAGAGCGTAGAATACAAGATTTGAAAACTTTTAACTTGATCAAAAACAATGAATGTGCTTATGTTGGCAAAAGTCCAGTGATAGGATGAATTATTGATAGTCCTAGGCTGAAACTAACACCACTAAAATCTAGGGATTTTAGGTTTGGAGAAAAGTAGGTAGTACTCAATTTTTCTTCACATTTTTTTAATGGTAACCTACTAACCTACGTGGTAATTTATACTTTCTCGACTTATCATTAAATTTCTTTAATTATCTGGCTAGTTAAATTTTGGGAAATATGAATTAATGCAAGTCTAATGATATATCTCTTGGTATATTTTTTCCATAAGTGTAAAATTATTATGTTAAATTCATTCAACTCATACAATTGAATCAGATAAAACAAATTCATATCATATCACACCAATATACTGAATCTAGTCTAAGCATGATAAAATTAATTATATTGTCCAATACCCACTAAAGATTCTAACATGTATTTTATTTTACACGCTACTTGGAGGATTTGTGAGCAACACCCACTTATTAACATCAAAGTTGCATGTATGTAGCCTATAAACGATCGAAACATGTAAATGTCAAAACATTATACCGGGAACAAACACATTAATTAATCACTCATGTAAGTGTCCCTCTTATTTGCCTTTAGTAATATGTAACTAGATTAAATCGCGTGCAATGCACAGTTGTTAAATAATTATAATGACAATAAATGTATATATAAAAAAAATTGATATAAAATATTATGAATAGACTTGGTATTAAAAAGTATGAAATATATGTGAAAGAACATAATTAAACATGTAATAATAGTTATAATGGGCAATTTGATATTTAAGAAAGTTTATCTTAGATTTTGTATTAAGTAAAAGTCATAATTTAGATACAACTTTATTTTTATGTAACAGTTTTTTTTAGTAAGTAATTTTGGAGGAAAAACTTTTTATATTATGTTGTCAGGTGTCTAGTTACGTTTCGCCTTTAGTATAATATAATTGATAGATTACAAACCTCATCAAACTAGTAAAGCAAGATACAATATATTGTAAAAAACGGACCCGAAACATATTGTAAAAGGGTCGGGCTCTACTTTACGGGTTGGGGCGAGTCACTTGTTTAGTTGTTTATGTATGTTTTCAATTTTTCATAGCCCGGAGCCTTTTCCCTGTCTCTCTCCTCAGTCCTCGTTGAGTGAACTTTCTCTACTCCATTGAAAAAGGTTTAATCTTTAATTTACTTCAATTTAAAGTTGATTGATCAATTAAACTGTTTATTGGTTATAATTTAATTCTTATTCATATAATTTGATAATTGATTCAAATTTGGTTGCTAATGTGTTGCAAAACCCTCGAATTTTTTCACAGTGTTTTTGCAATTGCTGTTTATTAACATTGGCTTTCATTTTAGCTGCAATTTATTTATTGATTTTGAATTTATTAATTTTTTTAATTATTATATTTGATGTCTGAATTACTGAACTTTTTTGTAAAAATTAATTCAGCTGAAAAGTCCATGGCAAACAGCAAATATGAGTATGTTAAGTCCTTTGAAGTTCAAGATAAAATTATGCTGCCCACTCTGATTGTTGTTGTCATTGATGGCCGGAATTTTGGAAGGTGATTCTCTTTATTCCTTGCTTTGAAGATGGTCTTCTACACTTCTACGCAGATGATTCGGGTGTCTATTATAATAGCCGCTTATTTGAGTATATATCCTCGCTTGCTTGATTTTGATAGCTGCGTATTTGAGTATATATCCTCGCTTGCTTGAGTATAATAGCCGCTTATTTGAGTATATATCCTCACTTGCTTGATTATAATAGCCGCGAATTTGAGTATATATCCTCGCTTGCTTGATTATAATAACTACTTAATAATCTGTTTATTAAATAGCTTGGCATTGCTGATGCTCATTTTGGTTTCAATGTTGGCAATCATGAATGACTTGAATGTTTGTTTATCTTGTTTGCCGTTTTCTTTTACCAAGATTCATATACATTCCACAGGTAGTGTTCAACAAGAGTATCCATACGACATTATTGTTAGCTTCCATACTATCATATACTCTCTCTGCTCGGTGTTTTGTATGATCTCTAAGACTGATCTCTGGCCTCAGTTTCCCAACTGACCAAGTGCCTATAGTTATCGTTTGTTGCCTCTTAAATGATGATTGAGATGGAGGCCTATTGTTGTTGTTGGGTTTTTTTCCCCTTTTTTTCATAGTATAGATAGAACAATCAATGCGACACTATTTAATTTTCTAAATTTACTCTCTTTTCTTCCATTTATCAGCATCTCATGCAACATCTAGGAAGCTTATTTCCATTTCTTTTAATGGATTTGAGGGCTTTCTAGTTTATGATTTACAAGCTTCAAATCCCTTCATTATGAAAGCAGTATTAATTTCCTCACAACCCGATCATGGAGCTTACTGTTGGTTCACTGGAGAACTGTGGAGCTGACTGAAGTTTATGTGCTGGAGGACTTGCTTAAAATTTTGGACTACTCATTTTCTTTGGGTTGCTTTCTTTGCTAGAATTTAGTTGGTACATTTTCTCAAGTGGTTGAAATTACATTGATTGACACTATGAAGGTTATTTTCACACTGTCTATGTAATGAAGCATTGAAGGCTTGTATTTTTTAACTATCCCTCTAAAAACCTAGCGTCCCCCCCCCCCCAACCCACCCACACCTTTTATCTTTTCCTGGTTGGTTGTCCCTTGTACATGTCAACAAAAATTCTCTTACTTGTGAACTTGATATGACAGGTTCTCTGAAGCTCATAAATTTGAGAAGCCTCGTGATAGAAAAGCCTTGGAGTTGATGATTTCATGTGCAACTGTTGTCATGGAGGAATATGCTGACATAATATTTTCATATGGATATAGTGATGAATTTAGGTACCTGTAACTCTCCATTTACTCACTTGCTTCAATTTGAATCGTTGAATTTGATGTTTACCAACTGGTTGCTGTTGCCCTTTGCAGTTTTGTAATAAAAAAGGAGTCCAAATTTTACCAGAGACGTGGAAGGTTTGTGGTTGAATCTACATTCAGATGTTAGTACCCAGGATTCACAAATTTCCTTGTCGACATACTGATGATTTAATTGCTGTTTCATAGTGCTTTATTTTTCCTTTCATCAGTTTAAGATATAGTGCTTTCTGGTTTAGATATTGATCTTGATACTCCGTCACATTATATTTTCAGTAGTATTGTAGATAAGATTAAAATTTTGGTATTCTTTTTCTTTTTTTTCCTCAATAGAAATTCTTAAAATTTCCGAACATCTCTTTTGCAGTAAGATACTGTCCCTACTTGTGTCATTCTTCACTTCTGTGTATACCATAAAATGGAAGGACTTCTTTCCACATCAGAAATTGCTTTATGCGCCTTCATTTCATGCACAAATTATTCGATGTCCAACTTTGGAGGTTCTCCAAAATTATCTTGCATGGAGGCAGAATGATTGTAAGTAATTTACCTCATGGCTAATTGCTCTGAAGCTCTGAAATTTCCAACAGCTATAAGTACTATTATTATATGGGTGCTTTTACCTCAATGTATGTATTCTCTTTGTTTCATAGGTCACCTCAACAATTTATATGATACATGTTTTTGGAAGCTGGTTAAAAGTGGAAAGAGTGAATCTGAAGCCCATGGACGTCTCAAGGTGTTGCCAAATTTATATTTGTATGCATACAGTGTATTCTGGTATATGTCAAAGGATATAAATGATGTGTGAATATAATGGATGTCTGGTGCATTTGACGCATATAGTAACTATGTTTACTATTTACCATTTTGTTTGATTTATCCTTAGTTGTATTGTTCTTCACCTATGATACTCATAATTTCTTTTGTAGGTTAGAAATCTGGGGATGTAGATTCTTCAATCTCCTGTCTACACCCAAAAAATGCCAGCAGCACAATGCCACAATCCATATTGGTTGTGGTAATAAGGTGTCGCATTTGTTTGGGAATCTACATTCAATTTGAGCCACATAATTCTGTTATGGGATCATAGAGATGAAACCTTATTTTGATCACTGTTTACATATCTTAGAAGTTACACCACGCTGTAGTGCATTAGTTATTAATTTTTTCTTTACTCTATCATTTGATACTCATACATTACAATTATCTTTATCTTACTTTATGTACCTCTGTTTGCCAATTGTAAAATAAATTTCTGATAATCTGAGTGATAATGAGGGTGACTACTAACTTTTCCTAGATTCATAATCTGTCTCTTGCTTTCATTGTTAGAGCTATATCTGAGGTTGACAGTTTTTAGATTACTAGATCCATGTGTGCTGCATATTAGTCGTTGCATATATTCTTTTCCGATAACTCTCCTTCTTGATGTATGTTGTGTCATGTCTGTAACTACAGGGAACACAAAAACAGGAAAAAAATGAGCTTCTCTTCCAGGAATTTCTCTTTAATTATAAGACTCTTCATCCAATGTTACGACAAGGAACTTGTCTTTTCAAGACTCAGGTGCACATCTGCTAGACTGCTGCTGTTTTTTGGATTACGTTTTTTAATTTATATATATATATATATATATATATAATTTGATGGATAAGCCTTTTTGCATTGATTCAATCAATCAATCAAAGCCTTAATCCCATAAGTGGGGTCGGCTAAATGAACCAAATTTGATTATTCCATGTAGTCATTGACAAAATCTTCCTCCACCATCCCTTGCGATCCAATGCCTCATCCTTTTTGCATTGACTGAAATTTCAAAATCCACCAAGCTGTGGTCTACTGGTATTTTTTAATTGACTAATTCTTAACTCATTTTATTGAAATAGCATCGCATGAATGAGCCCAGAACCTTGTACTTGTAGTTTTGTCTAGTGGGTTTTATGTTTGTTTTAGAATCATTAATCATATTCTATTTTAGATCCTTTTAAACTAGCCATTTTATATGTACTCTTGTGTGTTAGATTGGAAAGTGTTCCCCAATTCTTCTACAATTTCATTAACCATGTATATGACCAACTTCTAACCGCACTATTGGAACCTTTTTTTTTTTTTGGTTAGCCTACGCAGACCGAGGAATCTTCTTTCTCATTTTCTTTTTCTCTTTCCTTGTTTTTTAAAGGTTGTATAAGCCCCTTTTAACTTTTGGTGATATGAGCCTATCTTTTGAAGGGGTGAGGGTAATTATAGGAGCTCTTTGCTGTCCAAATAAGAGTGAGCAGTATTAGTGGTAGTGGAACATTAACTCAGCCAATAATCCCCTTAAAAGGACTATTTGTTACTTTTATAACTTATAATTGTGGATTTGTGGGGCAATGATTAAAAAATTTATCTGCCCTGGAAGAATTTACCTCTTGGGCCATAATTAAACCTAAACACAGCAATCTAATCTAAAAGAAATACTTGTATATAAACCAAAAGCATGCCACTTAAGTTTTCCTTATCCATGTCACAGTTTAAAATCTAAAATTAAATATCAGAGTTTTAATTTGATGAGAAGTATTCTTTATGTAGTGTCAGTTATCCTTCTTCGTCTCCTTGTAAGTGGTTCAAAGTAAACCTAATTGTGATTTTTGTCTGCTGATGTAGATTGAAGAGGTTGTCAAGTACAAGGAAAATGGCGATCCTATCAAGAGACTTCGGAGAAAGATAATGGAAGTTCACTCAGATAATATAGCTGGCAAAAGCTTCTGGAATCAGCACTCTTCTCTTCTTTCAGAACTAGGCAGATTTGAAGAAGATATTCACAAAATTAGACCAGAATATGTAGAGTCCTTTCTATTTGAGGATAAACTGATGTTGTCCACTTGGATAGTGGTCAGAATTGATGGTTGCCATTTCCATAGGTAATTGACTTGTGTGATGAGTAATATTATTTTTGGTTTGATGAATCCATTGTGTTGTGAGAATAAAATGCATCAAAATACAAATAATTTTTTTTTGACTTATCATAAAAGCTAGTGACATGCATTATTTATGCTGTTATTGTCTTACATAAATAATTTGGATCCTGCTTCAAAAATAAATGTAAAACTAGCAGAGAAACAATTAGTTGCACACAAGAATCTTTTTCTTGCAACTATTGTAGTGTATATGCTGTCTGAATAGTATTCCCCTTATATGGAGGAGATACTTCTGTGATCTATCCCCAGCATTGGATTAAAGAGTCCAATATCAAGGGTATATTGGGGGGGGTGGAGTGAGGTGATGACTATGAATATTTTGATAATTTATTAACTAATACTCCATAGTTAGGTACTTTAGTGTACTTTTTTCTGCCAATCTCTGAGCGTGAACAAGATTTTTTTCCTCTATATGAATGTAACACTGCACCTTTATATAAAAAGATTGTACATGTGCTGTATTGTCTCTTCATAATTAGTGTGGGCTGTGCTTCGATTAACAATTAAGGATTAGTAAAAAGGAATGAGTTGTGCTGCACGCCTGCACATATGTTTTTTTTTCTTGCTGTCGTCTGTCAACTTAGTTTATGCATCTCAGTTTCAACTGGGTTAATGTATGGTGAGTCCAGCCAGTTGTCTAGTTCAAGGCTGAAATGGTCTAGATGGATCTTGCAAGTGAACGTGTTTTGGCTTGTGTTAGGTTCTCTGATATTCATAAATTTAAGAAGCCCAATGATGAAGAAGCTTTGAAGCTTATGAATTCATGTGCAGCAGCTGTTTTGGAAGAGTTTCAAGATGTAACCTTTGCATATGGTGTCAGTGATGAGTTCAGGTAATTTGGTGGTTGCTCTTTTGCTACCAACAGCTCTATAATTGCTTGAAGTCCAAATTTCTAATTGCTTTTGTTGATGAACAGTTTTGTTTTGAAAAAGGACTCAAAATTTTATGAACGGCAACCCAGGTATGTCTTGGCTTCTTATCTGGTGGGCTTTGGTGCAAATTAAGTTATATAATGAAAACATGGGAAATCTTCAAGGTTTTATATATCAAGCTGAGCTTTTTTTTTTTTTTTTTGTACAGTGGAATAGTGTCCTCAATGGTATCATTCTTTTCAACAATGTACATCAGTAAATGGAATGAGTTTTTCCCAGAAACAGAGTTGAAGTATCCCCCTTCATTTGATGGAAGAGCTGTTTGCTACCCATCATCTGAGATTCTACGGGACTATTTGTCTTGGAGACAAGTTGATTGTGAGTATCATCAATTTTGTTTGTCCTGTATGCTTTATGCAGGTTGATCTAATCTACTTCAAAAGTTGTTAATGGTAAATATATAGTACCAGTACTCTTTTTTTTCCTTTTCAGTTATTATGGAACTGGACTGCTTATTTTTGTAAATTCAGGTCACATAAACAACCAGTATAATACCTGTTTCTGGATGCTGGTAAATTCTAGAAAAACCAAGCCTGAAGCCCAAAATTATTTGAAGGTACATCACTTGTTCCTCACTAGTAGCATTGGCAGCTTGTTTAATGCAATTTCCATTCTGTATGAGATAAGAGTGTCGATATATCTTGGTGTAATTCTTTTGTAGTTGCTTGTAATTTGAAAACATTTTATCTTGTTATATGCAGGGCACGCAAACACAAGAAAAGAATGACTTGCTTGCTCAAAATGGTATTGATTATAACACATTACCAGATATATTTCGTCGAGGCTCATGTATTTTTTGGGACAAGGTATAGCTCTCCTCCTTTTTTGTTGTCTGCCTTGAGTGATGTAAATTTGTAAGGTATAGCCGTTCATCTTTGGTACGATTCTATCTATTTCATGCACATATTCTTCTTTAGCAATTTGTGTGAAGTTTAAATCAAGTCTGCTCATTAGAATGGGGTGAATGTTCTCTAAGGCAACTGTTTCTATATGTAGGAAAACAAGACACTTATGGAGGTAAATTATTCTGAAGATTCTAGAAAGAAAATTGTGATTGAACACTGTAACATAATCGATGACGATTTCTGGGATTCACACCCATGGATCCTTGGTGACAAGCTCCCTTTGGACTGTGCTAATACTAGAGCTATGAAGAGGACATTGGGACAATTGGAGGACTAGTAAACTAGCAGATAGTATAGATTAGATGTTTTTTCAACTCATGTAACGTAACAATGCCCTTTTCTAATAGTTTAGTGTTGACCCTTTAGGAAACACGTGAACACGATATAACTATTGAGATGTAAAAGAGAAAGCAATTGATTTATTTATTTATGTAATTTAATGTGTTTTTGTATGTGTTTGTTACAAGTCTCACAACCCCCTTAATAAGAAGAGTATTCTTAATTGGAGAGAGCAAGTAAATGACATATTTGCTCGTCCATACACAACTAACACAAGTGACATGTCATTGCTATAGATGAGTACGAAGAAGTGTATTTTAATTTTTCTAAATAAAAGTAACGTCTCCATAATTATACTCAATTAGATAGTCATTGTATCTCAGCTACAATTAAGCAAATCAATTTGGAACAACAAAATGTAATGAAGCTACAACCTGGTGGAATTACCAAAAGGAACGAAGGCAATTATTAATTCCGGGTTAATACCCTTGAATTAGCCCTAGAGGGTAGATAATAGCTTCTAACAAACAATACTACGAAGTATTTCGAAAGCTAGTTTTGTTCACTGGAAAATATTACTACTTTCATTAAGTATTAATTGCAACTTGCTAACTTACCTATCTTACAAAGTTTCGAACAAATCGGTTACACTATTGTTGAGAACTTGAGAATAGTCATAAGGACTCGTAACCCTATAGTACTTTGTAATATCTTTTGGTGATTTAATAATGATAACCCTTCCTAATTTCAACTTTTCCAAAATTTCATATTAAAAAACGGATAAATATAATAAATTGAACCTACCAGCTGAAGAAAATTTCTTTTTTTTTTTTTTTTGAAAAGATGAAATCGTAATAAGATAATATTTTCTTCTTTTCTCATAATTTTTGAGAATTATGGTGTGAAAAGGGCCAGTCTCATATAAAGACCTAGCTTATGTTTCCCTCTCAATTAAAGAGTGGTTGCACCACTTAAAGTTAAATCCGACTTAATAATGAAATATCCATTTAAATTTTAATTCTTGCATAAAGAGTAGGAGTGTAGGACCATTATTATTTATATCATCACTAAGCCACTACTTGTTTAGTTTATAATCACTTTAAAATTATGAAATATCCCTATCTATGAAAGATCCCTATCAAGAAAAATAAAGTTGAAGGCATGTATTGCTCCACATGCATGTATCTCCTTAAATAAATTGGACCTTCATATATATAACAATTAAATTAATTTGGATTCCATTGCCACTAATAACGCTCCTTTTACCTTTCCCCAATACATGGCAGCTTCATATTCACCCCCATCTTCTTTAAAAGTTGATTAGGCTTACTTAAACATACATTAACATGTGATTAATTAGCAACTTGCCAACTTGACCTTCCAACCACCAATAATCACTAATTAGTAATCAGTAACCACAACATATAAATACTACTCATATACTTCGTATTCTTTTTTGACGTGTTTATAATATAATCAATTTCAATTTAATTTTATAAGGGGAGTTTTTAATAATCATGTTGTTCGTGTTATAGCTCACTTGTCATAGATGTGTAAGTTATTCTCTAAGTGATACAACTGCATTATTGATAGAAAATTAATCTATATACATTTATCACTAAATTAAAATAAAATATAATTAAAGTTGATTTTTAAACGCAAAAGCGACAATTAATAACTTGTATATATGATCGTGAGTAATAATTAACCTAACATTTAGCAAAAGGATAATGGGGCATTTCATAATAGCACACCATGGCTCTTGCCGATTGTCATTAGGCACCTAAAAAATCATTAGTCAACAACATTATTTCTATTTATAGACAATAATACCAATTGCCAAAAAAAGAAGGGGCATTTTTGGAAACTTGAATGTCTCTAAGAAGTTGCTATATATATATAACATCAACACATCATCCATTTTAGAACAATCTACTTTAAAACACACACAAACATTACTTCTTCTATATAATCAGCTGTGAAAGAGGTCCACCATAAGGAACAAGGAAAAAGATCAAATGGCTGAGGAAAGACAGAGTTATACGATGATCAACCAATCACAGAAAAGGCAGTCAAATTCTGACCGTTTGATTCCAAAGAGAGGCCAAATTAAAGTTGAGATTGTAAAAGGATTAGTTCAATCTGTTGCTTCTATTTTCTCTTTATCTCATCAACGTTCCTCTATTGTTTCGGTGAATCATGCTACACTGGATTACTAGCTCTATTATTTTTTTATTTTTTATTTTTTCACTATTATGATATGATACTTTTATGTCATAGCTTAGGTATATTTTAAGGTACTAAAATTGCTTGAGGTTGGAATTTTGGATATGAATTTAGTATCTAGCAAATTATTGGTTTTAATTTCATTTTTTTATTGAGGTTTTTTCTTTAACTTATCTGGTTAAGGGAAGTTACATATACAAAGTATGATATATGATCTACAAAAGTAATAAAACAAGGTTTCGAGTTTGATTGATAATTCATGAAATTATTGTAGGCTCGTAACTTCTGTTAAGCTTTGTTCACTTCACCTTAAAAAAATATTCAGTAAGAAAAAAAAAATTTAGTTTAATAAAAATAAGGTGAAGTTAACAAGACCTTTGAAGCATTGATACTTTATCATCATGTAAAAAACTGAGGGTAATACATTAACCGACCACATAGTGACAAATAGGATATATACCAAATTAACATTATTATATTTATATAATTCATGTGAAAGGATTTTCTCCAACTATCTTTGTTTTGGTAGGTCTTGATTACAGTAATAAAATTCCCGTTCATATTTAATCTATTATTGATTTATTGATGATGGCTTTAAAAGCCAAAGACCATCTTTATCAAATGTCCTATGAGATTGCAATATACCTCACCCTTGACTTATATGATAGTGGTTATTACTCCTACCTAATTTAAGCAACAAATTAGTTATAATTTGTTATTTGAAATCTTGAATAAGATCACCTTATAAAGTACCCCAAAAAAAAAAAAAAAAAAAAAAAGTAAAAAGCTCCAGGCCAAACCCAATCATGTGTTCGTATTTGCATTTACATATTGCAAAATATTAGTAGTTCTTTACAATAATATATTGAAAATAGATAATTGAAAAATATACCTTAAGACGGTTACAAGACTTGTCACGCTTGATAAATTTTCTAATATATATAGTAACATACAAAAATACGGCCAAATTAAAATTTTAAAAATTAGATCAAACTTGACTATTAATATTCAAATTAATAGCTTATTTTAGGCAAAGAGCATATAACTTGAATATTATATAGAAATCCAGATGATAAGGTGGCGTACTCCTAATTTCCTAAAAGTCCCAAGTCCTACATAAATGAAGATCTACTACAAGAAGGAGAAAGACATTGCTTTAAAGTATACCAAAAAAATTAAAATAAAGCACTTTTTTTTTACTTATCCACGATTATTGGATCATATTTTGAGATAAGGACTACTCTAGTCATGGTGCAGAAATTAAAAATTAGATTATGAATCATAATCACTGATTACGGAGTATTCGTACTTGATTAAGGTTTAAGTACTTTGTATAAGGTATATAAAACATGTAGATAAGCCTAATCCATAATTAGTTAACCTAACCTTGGCGGCTTTAATTTAAAACTATAGAAATGCTACTGACCATAACATGATTATAGAAACATTAACGCTTTCAAAAGCAATGTGAAACCACTAATTCAAGGTCAATGCTTTTGAAAGTGACTGTTGACCATTGACGGTCATCAATAGAAAGCTAGGGTCATGCACTCATGCCCACAGTCCAAGAGTAACAAGACCATTTCTGTGTTCACACACCGGTCATGTTCACACAAGCAAGCAAATCCGAGAACAACATTTGTATCTCAGTCATAGGTCATAACGTATACTAATACACGTAGATATTATGATATGCAATTGCAATACTACCTCTATTTTATATTAAACTCCATCGATAAATTTTAAAAGTGGTGATTCTTTTATCCTTTTTCTTATTTCAAAAAGTTTGTTAGGTTGTATATTAGATTGAGTTTGTATCTCAAAAGTCAAGATTTTGCATAAACATTCAACAAATTTATTCTAGATTATGAAGTAGTCGGTATATGATTTACGAAAGTATTTGTATATTCAACAAATATGATTAAAAATTTTGAATAAGGAAACAATGTCTTTATAGTGCAATATATTGCTAAAGATAATCACAATGCAAGTATTAAGTGGATTAACTTAAATTACAATGACTCCCTATTAGTAGAAAGTTGAATAATAGAAATAGAGTTTCCAGCTATAGATTTGTCTAATTAAATTATTGGTAAGATTTACCAAACATGTGAAGTAGTACTGTACTTTATTAGGTCAATTCTTGGTAAGATTTACCAACTCTCGTGACAAGTGTGTGAACTGTGAAGATTTTTTTTTTATTTTTTATCTATCTATCTATCTTAACCATCTTAAGTCACTTTCTAGGTGATGCATACGGAATTGTGGGAACATAGCATGATAGCAATGTAAGCAATCGCAATCTATTCGCAAGTGACAACATTAATGATGCTACAATTTCAAACATTTTCTTACTTATTAACATGATAATAGACGAATAAAACCGAACATCAATTTATTTTAAGGTGGCAGATTTATTATACTCCTCATTTTTTATTTAAGTGTCCTAATTTGACTTTGACATTATTCACATATACCATGACCAATGTTAATGCTTTATATTCCCTTCGTGTTTTAATAAGTGTACATGTTACACTTTGATCAACACATAATGTGACCATAAGTGAAGAAAAATATAATATTAAAATGTAGATTTTTGTCAAAAAAAAAGAAGTGTAATACTTATTAAAACACTTAGGGAGTACGTAAGATAAAATATAATAAATGAGTACTTGTTAGAATCGTTTTAAATATTAGTTTTTTATAATTTATATTTATTGATAATTAAAGATATCATTAGTCAAAAAATTTTGCATTGGCAAGTATGTCGGTCAAAGTAGAACACTGAAATAAAAATAGAGGGAGTAACTAAAATACTTTGGTAGTGAACTGGTGATAGATATGTAAGAATGTAACTCAACTTAACGGCAATTGGTTTTATATTCTAAACTTTTTAAATTTGAAACGTAAATGTATTACGAACTCCCCTAACTCGAAAAAAAAAAAAA